GTTGGTACAAGAGGCTTGGCATGGAGCTCAATTTCTTCCTTCCTTCCTTCCTTCCTTCCTTCCTTCCTTCCTTCCTTCCTTCCTTCCTCCTTCCTTCCTTTCTCTCTTTCTTTCTTTCTCTCTCTCTTTTCTTTCTTTCTCTCTTCTTTATCTTTCTTTTTCTTTTTTCTTTTTTTTGAGACAAGATCTCACTGTGTTACCCTGGCTGAAATGCAGTGGCCTGATTTTGGCTTACTGCAGCCTTGACGTCCCAGGCTCAGATGATCCTTCCACCTCAGTCTCCTGAGTACATGGGGCCACAAGTGCACACCGCAACACCCAGCTAATTTTTGTATTTTTCATAGAGATGGGTTTTTATATGTTGCCTAGGATGGTCTCGAACTTCTGGACTCAAGAGATCCACCTGCCTCTGTTACAGGAAAGGGGTCCCATGTTGGCCAGGCTGGTCTTGAACTCCTAACCTCAGGTGATCTGCCCACCTTGGCCTCCCAAAGTGCTGGGATTACAGGCGTGAACCACTGAGCCTCGGCCTCCCATATGCAGAATGCCAGATTCTGCATTTCTAACAAGCTCCCAGGTGCTGCTGATGCCCCTACTCCAAGAACCACACTTCAATATCAAGGGTCTGTGCCCACTCCTGCCAGATATTTCTGTGCGTCAGAATTCTTTGCAAAAAGAGTAGAATTCGACTTGTTCTGTTTGCCCTTCTTCCCCCTTCTGCTTTTAAAAATGTAATGTTTTATTCACAAACATAAATAAAATCTAAGCACAGACATGTTTGACACCTGTCATCAAACGGAAAGTATAGAAGTTGAGGTTTAGAATTTCACTAGCAGGAGGTTAATAGGTGTTATGTGTTCATTTTATAAAGACAGCAGGTCATTAGTTATAAATGTCACGATCTTACCCCTGGAATAATGGAATCTGTTTCTGAGTAAGAGTCAGTTTGAGATGATCAATAGTAAAGAGACTGAAAGAGGAAGAAAAATGTCTTGTGCTCTCAAAAATACAGTCATGTAAACACTAAATGACTTTTTGTCATGGGAACACACTCTTCATACTTTTATAATGTGGTTATATAATAGACACTGGCTCATAATCACACAGAAGTAGATAAGTAAGGCAGATTCTCTCTTTGCTTTCTAGGCTCTCCTTCCCCACCCTACGGCTTAACCAGACAAGTTTTACTCTAAATTCTTTTAAAATGCATGTTAAGAACAAGGGGCTGGGTGCAGTGGCTCACGCCTGTAATCCCAGCACTTTTGGAGACCGAGGTGGGCAGAACACCTGAGGTCAGGAGTTCAAGACCAGCCTGGCCAACATGGTGAAACCCCCTCTCTACTAAAAAGACAAAGATTAGCTGGGCATGGTGGCACATGCCTGTAATGCCAGCTATCGGGAGACTGAGGCAGGAGAATCACTAAAACCCAAGAGGTAGAGGTTGCAATGAGCTAAGATCGTGCCATTGCAGTCCAGCCTGGGCAATAAGAGTGAAACTCTGTCTCAAAAAAAAAAAAAAGGAAGATTATTTTTAGATAAGCAAGCACCAAAATAATTTTAAAGTATTACAATGCAAGTTAAAGAAATAGAAATAGGCTGGGCATGGTGGCTCACACCTATAATACCAGCACTTTGGGAGGCCAAGACAGGTCGATCACCTTAGGTCAGCAGTTCCAGACCAGCCTGGCCGACATGGCAAAACCCCATCTCTACTAAAAACACAAAAATTAGCTGGGTATGGTGGCGCATGCCTGTAGTCCCAGCTACTCAGGAGGCTGAGGCAGGAGAATCTCTTGAACCGGGAAGGCAGAGGTTGCAGTGAGCCAAGATCGTGCCACTGCACTCCAGCCTGGTGACAGAGCAAGACTCTGTCTCAAAAAAAAAAAAAAAAAAAAAGAAACACACATTGCTTAATGGTGTTTCTCTTGAATACCTGAGTATTTATATTAAATAAATTCAAGTTTAGGTAGCAAGAAGAAAAGACCCTTGCCTTACAGAAAGCCCTTAAGGTTTAAGACTCACGCTGTTTACAAGAAAGGATGCAACAAAATTTCATTTTAATAAGGAAGCCTGGTTACAGATCAGATCATCATATAATTACATGACATCAGGGCAAAAGAACAGACCTTTTTTCTTCTGAAAAGGCACACTTTTATTAATATTTTTAAAAGCCTAATTCAATTAAATTTCTTTAAAATACTGGTTTGTCCAATTTTTTTCCTTATTAAAAGCTATTAAAAATAGTAAGTAGCTTTTTTCTTCTTTTATTTTAGGAACGACCCCTCTCTTGTCACCCAGGCTGGAATGCAGTGGTACTCAAACTCACTGCAGCCTTGAGCTCCTAGGCTTAAGCAATCCTCCAACCTCAGCCTCCCCAGTAGCTGGGACCACAAGTGTGTACCGCCATACTTGGCTATTAAAAAAAAAAAATTGTGGAGATGGTGTCTCTCTGTGTTGCCCAGGCTGGAGTGCAGTAGTGCAATCATAGTTCACTGCAGTCTTGAACTCCTGGGCTCAAGTGATCCTTCTGCCTCCACCACCTGAGTAGCTGGGATCACAGGTATGAGCCACCATGCCTGGCTAATTTTTAAAAAAAAATTTTTAGTAGACACAGGGTCTCACTATGTTACCCAGGTTGGTCTCAAACTCCTGGCCTCGAGCAATCCTCCCGCCTTGGCCTCCCAAAGCACTAGGATTATAGGTATGAGCCACTGCACGCAGCCCTTGAGTCTATTTTTCTTATTAGCATGTGTATTAGCCTTTTACTTGGCACTGCAACAAATGACCACAAATATTGGAGCTTCAACAACATAAATATATTGTCTTACAATTTTGCAGGACAAAAGCCTGAGCAGGCTGAACTCCAGGCATTGGCTGGGTCAGGTTCCTTTCTGTAGGCTCCGGGTACAATTCATTTCCTTGCCTTTTCCAGCTTCTAGAAGCTCCCCCCCACATGCCTCTCTGGTGGCTCCTTCCCTCATCTTCACACAGCAAAGGCAGAGTCAGAGTGGAGCCTTCTCACATCGCATCACTCTGTCCAGCTCTACTGTTTCCCTCTGCCAATGCTGATGATCCCTGTGATTACACTGAGCTCACCCAGATAATTCAGGATAACCTCCCTATTTTAAGGTCTGCTGATCAGCAACTTTAATTCTCCTTTGAAATATAAAAGAACATATTCTCAGGTTCCAGGGATTAGGATATGGGCATCTTTGTCTGTTCTGTCTGTGTGTGTTTGACGGGGTGGGTAGAGGCCATTATTCTGCCTACCACACTATATCTTATCAATAATTAAAAAGAATTGGCCAGGCACGGTGTCTCAAGCCTGTAATCCCAGCACTTTGGGAGGCCGAGGCGAGTGGATCACGAGGTCAAGAGATTGAGACCATCCTGGTCAATATGGTGAAACCCCGTTTCTACTAAACATACAAAAAATTAGCTGGGCATGGTGGCGTGTGCTTGTAATCCCAGCTACTCAGGAGGCTGAGGCGGGAGAATTGCCTGAACCCAGGAGGCGGAGGTTGCGGTGAGCCGAGATCGTGCCATTGCACTCCAGCCTGGGTAACAAGAGCGAAACTCCATCTCAAAAAAAAAAAAAAGAATCTTCTAAGAGAGGACTATTGCAATTTGGGTACTGATAGTATTTGCATAGTGCCATTACATCAAAATTGCATTCAGATTGCATTACTCACTGGTGAAACATGCTGCAGCTCTTAGGCAAAGTTTTAATCTTTTAGTTGCATTTTTGTTGATTCCCATGTTTTCCTTTTCTTGCTTTCTTTTTTTTTTTTTTTTTTGAGACAGAGTCTTAACTCTGCTGTCCAGCTGGAGTGCAGTGGCACGATGTCAGCTCACTGCAACCTCCGCCACCCGAATTCAAGCAATTCCCTTGTGTCAGCCTCCGGAGTAGCTGAGACTATAGGCACGCACCACCATGCCTGGCTAATTTTTTGTATTTTTTAGTAGAGACAGGGTTTCACCATGTTGGCCAAGACAGTGTTGATCTCCTGACCTCATAATCTGCCCACCTCGGCCTCCCAAAGTGCTGGGATTACAGACATTAGCCTCCACACCTTTAATTTTTTTGTTATTTCAAGAAAGGGTCTTGCTCTGTGGCCTGGCTGGAGTACAGTGGCACAATCATGGCTCACTGCCGCCTAGACCTTCCCAGGCTCACATGGTCCTCCAGAGTAGCTGGGACTACAAACATGTGCCACCACACTCAGCTAATTTTTTTATTTCTTGTAGAGACAGGGTTTCATTATGTTGCCCAGGGATCTTCTTACCTCATCCTCCTAAAGTGCTGGGATTACAGGCATGAGCCCCTATGTCTGGCCTCTTCTTCGCTAGTAATGATTTGTATATTATAATCTTGGAGTATAACTATAAATAGACCCTTGAATCTCTATGACCTATCCAAAATGTATTACATAGACAGGGTTATGTGAGAAACACTTAGCAAGTGTTTCTCAAATGGGGTGATTTTGCTCACCTACAGGACATCTGGCAATATCTGCGGACGTATTTTGGTTGTCACAGTTGAGGAGAAGATGCTATCGGTATCTAGTGGGTAGAGGCCAAGGATGCTGCTAAACATCCTACGAAACACAGGACAGCCCCCACAACAAAGAATCATCCAGCCAAAGTGTCAATCGCACCGAGGTTGAGAAACCCTGACTTAGCAAGATGCCAGCCTACAGAACCCCACCCCCAACTGAATTAGGTATTAGTAAATGGATCAGGATTGTATTAGTGTATTGATTTGTATGCTGATTGAACTAGTTGTTATACTAATTAGATTATGAGCTAACTAAAATTCTGGTCAAAAGATCAACTGTAGGAAACAGAAGATGGATATATCAGTACATATCAATCCACGTGAAATGTGAAAGGTAATATACTGAAAGAAAGTAAGCCTGACTTGGAGGCTTAATTGATGAAGTTGATGCCCTTCTCTCATGGTTCTCATCTCTACACTTTCTCCTTTACCTACATTGCAGGTGTTCCTGGCTCTATGCCAAATGCATCCTGGACTGGAAACCTCAGAGCTATAAAGTGGAATGACATGGAAGACAAACATGGAGGCTGCCACGGTGAGGTTCTCCTTCCATGCTTCTAGGATACTGCTTGTTGACGTTAGCAGGAAGATAGCTGTGGAATCCAGGGTTCTCATGGAGAGAGAACTGCTGCTAGATTTAAACCAATCTGTTAGTTAGTTGAGAAACCAGAGGCTTCAAGACACAGTCCTTCAAAAATAAGTTTAAACATTTCACTGATATTCACCAACTTATAATTACCTAGGGAGATGAAAAGATGGGTTCAAATCATGATTCCATTTTCTCCCTGCTAGTTTTCAGCTTGCTTTCTTGAGAAGCAGGGTCTCACTCTGTCACCCAAGCTGGAGTGCAGTGCCATGAATACAGCTCCTTGCAGCCTCAAAATCCTGGGTTCAGGATTCCTGCCTCAGCCTCCCAGGTAGCTGGGACTACAGGCATGTGCCACCACACCTGGCTGATTTTTATTATTATTATTATTATTATTATTTCATGTAGAGTCAGCTTTCCTTTCGTTTATTCCTCTTGCTGTGCCTTCTGAGAGCCCAGCTGTTCAGAGGGGAAAGTGGTTGAGAGGAAAAGTGATGTCATATTCTCACCACAGAGCAAGCTGGGCCCCCATCCCTCAGGCCAGGCCCTCCTCCCCCTATAGGTAGCCTTCCCAGGGGCTTGGAGAGCTGTTGGGGTTTGCACAGCTCTGGCATGGTGGATGACAGGTGACACTAGCAAGAAGAGTACCCCTTGGAATGGAATAGAACTAGAAATCCTAAGTCAGTTTCATTTCTATAGAACTTTATGAAAAAGAGTTTTTATCAGTCCTAGCACATTCAGAATATTGCCCAGCATATAGTGGGCATGAGTATCAGTTTGCTAGGGCTGCCTAGCACGGACTGGGTGCTTAACATTGGGTCCTGTCATCTAACTTCAGCTAGGCCTCCTGGCTACCTACTTATCCTTTTGTTTACCTCATTATTTTCCTAGTGCCTTTCCTAAGGTTCACTTTTTCAGCTTTCCTGCTTACCTTTAAGCTCCCAAGGTATATTAGTCCGTTTTCACACTGCTGATAAAGACATACCCAAGACGGGGCAATTTACAAAGAAAAAGAAATTTAATGGACTCAGAGTTACACATGGCTGGGGAGGCCCCACAATCCTGGCAGAAGGCAAAAGGCACATCTTACATGGTGGCAGGCAAAAGAGAATGAGAGCCAAGCAAAAAGGGAAACCCCTTATAAAACCATCAGATCTCATAAGACTTATTCACTATGACAAGAACAGTATGGGGGAAAGCACCCCCTATGAGTCAATTATCTCCCACTGTGTCCCTCCCACAACATGTAGGAATTATGGGAGCTAAAATTCAAGATGAGATTTGGGTGGGGCCTGCTGAGAAGCTGTGGATGAAGAGGGGTGGGCCAGAGATGATTACAGCCAGAGATGAATTTCCATGCTCTAGGCCAGGGCTCTTTGCTGGCCCCTCATGAGGTGGCTTGCTGCACGACAGGGAGATGCTGTGTGGCAGGGGCTGTGAAGAACAGAGGTACCTGACTTCCATGTCCTCAGCTGTCACTTACTGGTGACACAGATCACTGTGGTCATAGACCTGGTAGTGGGTCTTGCCCTTGTGTGTTCAAACATTTCTAAGGTGTCCCAGGCCCTGGAAATAGGGAATGGGGAGGGTGGAGACTTGGATCTGAGGTCTTGCTGTCTATTCCCTGCCTGCTCGGATCTCAGGTTGGTGTTGGGCCATCACAGGGCAGAGGTCACTTGTGTCACCCCATAGTCATTGGGTTGCAGGCCAGGGAGGAGGGTCTTCCACTCCATGGGAACTATTCTCCATTAAGGTAGAAGTATCCACTGTGGGCCTGGTACGGCGCAGGAGCCAGGCCAGGGGGTCTATCTCATACCTCTGGAGATAGGAAAAGTATGAGATATCAAGCCAAACCATATCACAAGGTTATCCCAAAACAGCCTTTCTATTCTCAAAAGTGACCATTTCAACTTGAAAAAGAACTTTCAAGATATGTAATCAAAATTCCATCATCTAATCCCTTGTCATGTCATCCCACCCTGCCATCTTAGAGCAGTATGGACACACCTTATTGTTCCCTCCTGTTTCAAGAAGAAAAGGCACCCATCCCCCCAACAAAGCCACCAGCTATGGTCCCAGCTATCTGTGGACACCCTCTCTCCCCTTGCCCTTTTGCATTCTCAGCCTCTCCCTTTCTGCTGCCTCTGCCTTCTCTCTGAAAGCGTGTACTTATTGCCCCTATCCTGAGGACATCAAGTTGCCTCTGAACCCTCTGCTTGCTCCAGGCTGAAATACTCTTTCCTTGTTCACTTCTATTTCCTTAAGCTTGTGCATGAGGCCTGTGTGTTCAGTTCTCACTGCCTGGTCACAGAAGGGGAGAGCATTCCAGACTTCAGACTAGATCCGTTCACCAAGAAATTTCTTTAAACTTTTTTATTTTTTTGAGATGTTGCTTTTGCTTTTGTTACCCAGGCTGGAGTGCAATGGCGCGATCTCGGCTCACCACAACCTCCGCCTCCTGGGTTCAGGCAATTCTCCTGCCTCAGCCTCCTGAGTAGCTGGCATTACAGGCACACGCCACCATGCCCAGCTAATTTTTTTGTATGTTTAGTAGAGACGGTGTTTCACCATGTTGACCAGGATGGTCTCGATCTCTTGACCTCGTGTTTCACCCGCTTCGGCCTCCCAAAGTGCTGGGATTACAGGGTTGAGCCACCGTGCCCGGCCTTTTTTTTTTTTTTTTTTTAAAAAGGACTAAACTTTATTGACAAACTGCTGCAGACATTTTGACATAAGTTTAAGCTACCTATTTAAGCAGGCTTACACATGTAGCATTTAATCTTCCAAGAACAAAATGGGAGGACGGTACAAATCCAATTAGGACTTTAACTTATGTACAAAGTGGATTTGATTCCTTTTTCATTCAGCTGCAGTGTCCCTTTTTATATCATGCTAGTGTTGAGACGTACTTGACTATCTTGGGAACAGTTCAATATTGACAACCATCAACTTAAGAAAATCATCAGCTTTTGGCTCCAGCATCCAAGTGAGCTTTTCATGGAGTGCAGAATCTCAAATGGACAGAATACTTTGTCTTTTTAAATACTGAAATTTTAATTATTAGTACTGTGACTGAAAGATTCTTCATGGCTAAAAAGCTCTGCATCAAACTCAGTTTAGGAGGCCTACCTTCCCACCACCAGCAACCTCTTCAAAACCTACTCCCACCCCTAAGTGTCTCTCAACACAGTATGTCTGGGGCTAGATTTCAAAACCCACATAATGAAAAAGTCAGTTTTACAAGCCTAATTTTGTTGTTGTTGTTGTTTTATATCAACGTTAAAAATTGCATCAACTATTTAATTCATGAAGATCTTTCATATTAAAATTTAACCTTAAGATTCAACCGCCATGTGCTTTTATAAAGGAAACATTTTTTTAGAGACTTCTGAGCTCACTTTTACATGGTGGTGCCTACTGCTGTTAACATTTGTGATTTTAAATCTTAAACAGCCCTGAATTTTGAAATGTAGCCTAGTTTGGGATTCTGCAACTACAACTTTACGGGATGCCTCAAATCAAAACTAAGAGAAAGTTAACAAGCCTTTACTTCAGAACCTTTAAGCAAGCAATGTCCCTTTTGAAACTAAGAGGTTTGTGTGTGTTTTTTCACTCAACTTCTTTTTTTTTTTATTATAAAAGGTACACTTCTGTTTATATTTAAGAAACAAAGAAAAAAGTATCTATACACTTAAAAAATTAATTCAATATTCCTAAATCTATTTTAACTCATTTAAAATACTACATACAGAAGCCAGAATGCAGAGTTAAGAATGGAATAAGGTGGGGAGAAGAAGGGGATCACGAAGAAAAGCACTTAGACAATTACTTGTCTGTTGTGGGTAAAGCAACAGGAATCCTGGGAGATACAAGAAATCAGTAACAACTTTGCTCATGATTGATACTTTCCCCTCATGTTTGTTTTTAATAACGTCCATATGGGTGCTCTCTGTATGATCCCTTCACTGGCCTAGCTGGAGGGGCCTTCAGTGATGGCCTGGTCCCATTCCAGTCGTCCTGGCCATAAGCTTCCTAAGAATCTTGAACCTCCCCATGTCCATAGTCATAATACTCTGAGTCCCCTTGACTCTGGCTGTCATAGCCTTCATAGCCTTTGTAACTTTATTCTGTGCATGTATCATCATATCCATATTCTTCATATGTTTCTGGTGCAGGAGGCGGAGGCAAAGATATCCTCTGGATGCCCGCTGTCCGTGCTCTTGGTGCCCTCACAGTAGGTGGGGGTGGCATGCCTCGAGTCACAGTGGCACCTCTGGTAATGGCTCCCCTTACTGGTGTACCACGTACCAAAGCCCCATGAGGTGGTCCAACACCATGGCCCCTGGGAACAGGTGGTGGAGGAGGTGCAGCTCCCCGGCCTCTTACTGGCATCCCACGTCCACGAGAGGGTTCAGGTACTCCATTCAAGTAGGACAGCTCTAGAAATTGCTCCTGGCAGATATCATCCATCATATCTGGTACCAGAAATTTCTTGACTTCTTCCATGGCATGGGCCATAAGGGCATAAGCCTCACATGGGGGTCCAAAGACTTCAATGAAGACATGCAGATCCATATTCAAGTGGGCATATTTGGGGTCTCCACCTTTGCGCAGCTCTTCCTCCTTGGCTTGTCTCTCATTGAGCCCTTTCCCAACACAGAGATCTTTGCACCAGTCTCTTCCTGCAGTCTTTTGATTGGATTCCCTTGCGGTCCAAGAATCGTCCCCACAAAATTGATCTTGGGATACTGCTTGACAAGTATCAGCACTCGTTCTTTCAGTTTCATGTTCTTACGAGAAAATAAATCCAAGTAATTCTCCTCATCATCCTTTTTTGAGTCTCCTTTCTGAATCTTTTCAATTTCTGCCGTCAGCAGCTGCATGGCGTGAGTGAAGGACGGGTCGAGTGAGTCCGTCTCCGCCATGAGTTCGGGCAGGTATTGTTCTCCGGCTCCATCTTGACCGAGGCTGTGGCTGAGGGGTGGGCACCTGAGGGGTCCATGGAGCCGCTGCGGCCCGAGGACCGGCTCATGCGCGCGGCGGGGTCGTCCCGGCGCTGCATCGGGGAGGATGTGCAATCGGAGTGAGAAAGCCACGCGGTGGCAGCGGAGGCCCGGGTGGTGGTTGGCGGCGGTGGGAGAGAGGGAGCGCTGGCGACCGAAGCCGACCCTAGCGACCCAGCAAGAGAGAGCTCTTTTTAACTTTTTTAACTTTCTACAATTCTGGCTTCTTTCCCCTGTGATTTCCACTCGTTTTTTTTTTGTTTGTTTTTGTTTTCGAGATGGAGTCTCGCTTCGTAGCCCAGGCTAGAGTGCAATGGCGCGATCTCGGCTCACTGCAACCTCCACCTCCCAGGTCCCAGTTCAAGCAGTTCTCCTACCTCAGCCTCCCAAGTAGCGGGATTATGGGAAGGAGCCACCATGCCCAGCTAATTTTTGTATTTTTTAGTAGCGATGGGGTTTCACCATGTTGGCCAGTCTGGTCTTGAACTCCTGACCTTGTGATCTACCCACCTCGGCCACCCAAAGTGCTAGGATTACAGGCATGAGCCACCACACCCGGCCTGATTTCCGCTCTCTATAATGCTTCTTCCCCGCCCACTGAATTAATCACCACGTTCTTCAGCATGCATGACATTCTGTCTGTCCTGCACTCGCGTTTTCAATATCTTCCCTTTCCCACTCATCAGTCATTCACTTTGAACGAGCTCTCCAGTTTACATTGTTATTACTGCAGCCTCTTGGTTTCTAATGTACCTGCAAAACACTTCAAAATTAATCTTGCTAAATCAGTTTCATCATTCGATTCTTCTATTCAAACATCTTTAAGGACTCTCCATGCTTATGGGATACAAGGCCCAACCCTTCAGTCTGTGAAGTTGGTCAAAAAGCAGTTGTTCTATTGTGTGCTCAGAGGAATCTCTGGAAAATGGTTATAACTTCCTACCATTCTTGTTTCTAACCTATACCCAACAAAACCCCCTCTTCCAGCAGAAAGTCCCCACCACAAAAGTTATTGAGGTTAAAAAAAAAATTCAAATCTGACATGTTACATTTCTGAGGTTTATTACACATCTAGGCAGAGATACAAGGTAGGCACTTGCTCAGGGAAAAGACTTACCAAGTGCAACACAATAGTAGGTCAGAGCTCAGGGAAAAGACTTACCCAGTGCAACCCATAAAGACCTCTCCCATCTGTATCACTGTAGAACTTCTCATCTGTAACTCTCATTTAATAATACAGTAGGCCCCCCTCATCCACAGGGGATACATTTCAAGACAGACAGTACTGAACTTTAAATATACTTTGTTTTTCCCTGTACATACATATTTATGATAGAGTTTAATTTTTGAAGTAGGCATAGCAAGAGGTTAACAATAATAATTAATTATAAATAGAACAATTATAACAATATGCTGTAATAAAAGTTATGTGATTAGAAGTTATGTGCATAAAAAAGTTATGTGAATTAAAGCTAGTTGGGTGCAGTGGCTCATGCCTGTAATCCCAGCACTTTGGGAGGCCAAGGCAGGTGGATCACCTGAGGTCAGGAGTTTGAGACCAGGCTGACCGACACGGAAAAACCCCATATCTACTAAAAATACAAGATTAGCCAGGTGTGGTGGTGCATGCCTTCAATCCCAGCTAACTCAGGAGGCTAAGGCAAGAGGATCACTTGAACCCGGGAGGCAGAGGTTGTGGTGAGCCAAGATTGTGCCATTGCACTCCAGCCTGGGCAACAAGAGCAAAACTCCATCTCAAAAAAAGAAAAATAAAGTTATGTGCTCTCTCTCTTTCTCCCTCAAAGTATCTTATTATTTTTGGATCATGGCTGACTTGGGGTAACTGAAACCTCAGAAAGCAAAACTGCAGCTAAGAGGGGACAACTGTGCATGAATGGCCTTCTAACACCTATAATGTTACTAACACAATTTTAATATTAGTATTGACAATTACCACAACAATTAACATAATAATGAAGATAGTAACAGGTGTTTCTCAAATGGGGTGATTTTGCTCACCCACAGGACATCTGGCAATATCTGCAGGCATGTTTTGGTTGTCACAGTTGAGGAGAAGATGCTATCGATATCTAGTGGGTAGAGGCCAAGGATGCTGCTAAACATCCTATGAAACACAGGACAGCCCCCACAACAAAGAATCATCAGCCAAAGTGACACCTATAATGTTACTAACACAAATTTAAGATGCTATAAAATTATTGTATGCCTTGTATGATTTAACTCTCATTTTCTTCAAATATGGATTTGTACCTACTGTTCTTTTTTTTTTTTTTTGGAGACAGAGTCTTGCTCTGTTGCCAGGCACCAGGCTGGAGTGCAGTAGCGCAATCTCAGCTCACTGCAACCTCTGTCTCCAGGGTTCAAGCAATTCTCCTGCCTCAGCCTCCCGAGTAGCTGGTGCCACCATGCCCAGCTAATTTTTGTATTTTTAGTAGAGACAGGGTTTCACCATGGTCTCAATCTCTTGACCTCGTGATCCACCCGCCTCAGCCTCCCAAAGTGCTGGAATTACAGGCATGAGCCACTGTGCCTGGCCGGCTGTACCTGTTGTTCTAACTAGAGTTCCAGTTCCCTGCAGGCTGAGACTGCACAGTCATATTTCATTTGAATCCTGTGGCATTGGCACCGTTGTAGTTACTCAGTCAGAGAGTAACTCTAGTATTCTGTAAGTCCATCACCCTTTTGAAAGCAAGCATGTTTTCACTGTGTTTCTTGTTCTTTCTTTTGCAGGCCACTATGTACATGGTATTTGTATCTATGGAAACGGAGACTTAAAGTGGCTGGTTAATTCACCAAGCCTGTTTGCTAACAAGTTTGAGCTTAATACCTACCCCCTGACTGTGGAATGCCTAGAACTGAGGCATCGCGAAAGAACCCTCAATCAGAGTGAAACTGCCATACAACCCAGCTGGTATTTTTGAGCTATGGTAACTCCTGACTGAAGGGAAATTGCAGCTGAGAAGAGGAGCCCGTCTTTGGGAGAGACTTTTGCCTTCCTAATGTTAATGGTTTCAGGACCTGGCACATAATTATACTTAAATTATCCACTGGACAGACCAGGTGTAGTGGCTCATGCCTGTAATCCCAGCACTTTGGGGGCCGAAGTGGGTGGATCACATGAGGTCGGCAGTTCAAGACCGGCCTGACCAACGTGGAGAAACCCCGTCTCTACTAAAAATACAAAAAAATTAGCCAGGCGTGGTGGTGGGCGCCTGTAATCCCAGCTACTTGGGAGGCTAAGGCAGGAGAATCACTTGAACCTGAGAGGCAGAGGTTACAGTGAGCCAAGATCACACCATTGCACTCCAGCCTGGGCAACAAAAGCGAAACTCTGTCTCAAAAAAAAAAAAAAAAAATCCACTGGACACTGTGAAATATGCTAACAGGATGGCTGGGTAGAGCAATCTGGGCACTTTGGCCAGTTTTAGTGTTGCTGTTTCTTGATGTTCACCTCTATATTAGCTTATTGTTATGATCAACGATAAATTTAAATGATATCAGATCTTTGCACCAGATACTCATCATATACAAATGTTTTAATGAAAAAGAGAATTGTAGATAATACTGTCTAGGAAAATAAGAATTAGGTTTCTTTGAAGAAGGAATCTTTTATAAACACATTAACAGTCACCACTCCGCTCAACCAGACAGGTATTGAAATAGCTTTCTGGGTAATTCACCAATTTCCTTGAAAACGTAAGCTACTTGAATGGAGAATTGATTTTGTTTCTAAGTTTCAACACTAGTATTTTTAGTTTACTCATGGCTAAAGTTCTGTATATAGCATAAAGTCATTAAGAAGAAACAGGATGTGCTTTAAGACGGAATTCACTGTCTGTTGCTTCAGTAAAGGGACCTCGGGGAATAGAACATTTCTCTCTTATATGCTGGAATGAAGGCTGGTCCCTATGTCATGTTTTCCATTGAGAACACTGAAAAGTCCTTGCAAGAATGAAGATAAGCATTCAAGAGAGGTGCTATCGCATAGATCTGTCTGAAGTTTGGAACACTTTCCTCTTCTGTGACCCCCCTCTCCCCAGTATTATCTTACTTGCAAAATAGAGACCAAATTCTATCCTGTGAGGCTTTTAATTGCACCATGGTATTCTCTGAGTAGCTTTACAATGCCTGGTACTGATGGGAGGGGCTCAATTTTTAAGAGCCTTCAGGTGTAAATGAGCATCTCTTTTTATTTATCCCTCATTCATTCATCCATCCATTCATTCATTCAGCCTGCATTCAATGAAGATTTCTTGAATGTCTGTTATGTACAGGACATGTACTGAGACAAAAAGGAAAAATAAGAGCTTTTTCCACTCTAAAAATCTTGGCAATAATGTCAACACCAGAAAGCCTCATCTAGAGAATCTTACAGAGTGGTTGTATTTTAATACAGGCATGCACGGGTCTGTGTAGCATGATACCAGGCCCAGGAGATCAGTAATTACAAATTAGGGGTTAAATCAGAGTTTAATCAACAGAGAGAGAGAAAGGAGGAGACAGAGCGAGGGCCTGTTGTGTTCCAGGCATTCTGGCAGTCCTTTATGTATTGAATTTCATTCAAACCTTATAACAGTCTTGTGAGGCTCTCATATAATTATTCCCATTTTGCAGATGAAGTAACTGAGGCCTAGAACGGTTAACAGCATCAGGGAATAATTTCTCTGTGAGAATTAGGACTCTGTTACTGGTGTCCTGATTTCATTTCCTGAGGTGGATTTACTAAGAGAAGGTGAAATAAAGCCATATTTAGGATACCAAAGAAGGTAGGTTTTAAGAATGGTCTCAGTGTTAATAATGAGAAAAAGTCCTGTCAGCTCAGAAAAAATGTGAAGTCTGCTTTACAATTCCTGTAACCCATTGAGTTTCTAAATATTTATTCTAACAAAAAGCAATTACTACAATGGATGATACATTTAATGAACACAATTTTCTATAACTGTACTTGTTGAATGTTAATCATATTTAAAGGGAATGACTTTGAAGTAAAACCTTTTTTTCTTGCTACTGAAAAAAAAAAATGGAATTATTTTGGGTGGTAAAGTGTTAAGGAGTAGAGAAGGCTGGTCACACCAGCAACCATCGAAGGCCACATGTGGAAACCCGTCACTTGCAGAGAGGCCAGCCTCCCTAAGGTGACCAGAGTGGGCTCCAAGCACACATTGTCATTGCTGTAGATGAGGCTGTGTCCCCTCTCCCCGAAAGTCATATGTTGGATCCTTAACTCTTAGAGTGATGGTATTTGAGATGGGGCCTCTGGTAAGGGAAGTTCAGATAAGGTCACAAGGGTGTGGTCCTCCTGATGAGATGAGTGTCCTTTTAAGAGCTCTGGCTTGGGCTGGGCGTGCTGGTTCATGCCTTGTAATCCCAGCATTTTGGGAGGCTGAGGCGAGGGGATCACTTGTTGCCAGGAATTCCAGACCAGCCTGGCCAACATGGTGAAACCCTGTCTCTACTAAAAAATACAAAAATTAGCTGGGCGTGGTGGCACCTACCTGTAATCCCAGCTATTCAGGAGGCTGAGGCATGAGAATCTCCTGAACCCAGGAGGCAGCGGTTGCAGTGAGCTGAGATCGCCCCACTGCACTCCAGCCCAGGTGACAGAGCAAGACTTTGCCTCAAAACAAAACAGGTGTAGGGATAGGGAGTGCACACAGGGTCAGTAGTGAGGTCTAAAAATGGTTTCTTTTCAACCTATTTAAATGACAGCACCTGAGAAGAAATGTTTTACACTGGATGTCTCTCATGTAGAACGAGAACTCTTTCTGGAAAAGATGTTTACATGTCCGTTGTTGGGCGTCTCTCCTATGTCTTAAATACCTTAATGCTGGAAGAGCATGGTGTGGGGCTAGTAGATCTCGGACAGCCCACGGGAATGTCCTGAAACTACTGTATCTGATGTTTGTTTTCGATGAGATTCCATGTTTTGTTTTCTTGGGAATAAATTAATATATTGTTTTCCACTTTGGGGATACTGTGTATTTTTATTTGACAATTCGTTAAAAATCCACTAAAGGGTATGTCTAACTAGGCAAGTCTCCTGGTATTAAGCAAAATTTACATTCATACATACAGGCATGTCTGTCTGAGAAACGACCATCCCCTGAAAAATGATTACACTTTCCTATTGTGGGGGTTGGGGAGCGTAAGTGGGAGTTAGAGAGAGAAGAGGGCACAATAGAAGGTCAATGTCATTTGAACTGGGCACAACTTTTTTTTTTTGTAAGGCCACAACTATTTTTAAAATTTGAGACAGGAATAGGCTAACTTATTATTTACCTGCCTTTATTATTCATTTAAAAAATCAAGATATACACTAGGAAAAAGTTTTATGTTGTTATTACCATAATTACTTATCAAGTGCCAACATTTAAAAAATTCATTTATAGGACATTTTATCCATCATTTTTTCAAATAAAAATATTTTAAATAAATAAAAAATATTTTAAAACATAAGAAAATTTTAACTATAATAATAAATATGTACATGCTCATAAACATGGAAAAAATGAAGAATATAGAATAAAAACTGAACTACTTTCTCCAGAGGTAATCACTTTTTCAGTTTTTGTTTTTCTGAGACGGGGTCTCACTCTGTCAACCAGGCTGGAGTGCAGTGAAACAATCATGGCTCACTGCAGCCTCAACCTCCTGGGCTCAGGTGATCCTCCCACCTCCCAAGTAGCTGGGACCACAGGCATGCACCACCACACCTGGCTAATTTTTGTATTTTTTGTAGAGACAGGGTTTCGCCATGTTATCCTGCCTGGTCTCAAACTCCTGGGCTCAAGTGATCCACCTGCCTCGGCCTCCCAGTGCTGGGTTACAGGCGTGAGCTACCATACCTGGTCTTACCTGCTATATCTTCTTAAGTGCTTTCTCAATGTACTGATATCACCTACAGCAGGCTGTCCAGTAGTCCAGTCGAATTTCTGCAATGATAAAAATGTTCTACATCTGCACTGTCCAATATAATTGCCACTCACATAAGCTATGAGCTCTTGAAATATAGCTAATATGACTGGAAAATATTCTTTCACATTTTATTTATCTTTTTTTTTTTTTTTTTTTTTGAGACAGAGTCTCACTCTGTCACCCAGGCTGCAGTGGCGTGATCTCAGCTCACTGCAACTTCCACCTTCTGGTTCAAGTGATTCTCCCGCCTCAGTCTCCTGAGTAGCTGGGACTATAAGCTCACACCACCATGCCTGGCTAATTTTTGTGTTTTTAGTAGAGAAGGGGTTTTACCATGTAGGCCAGACTGGTCTCAAACTCCTGACCTCAGGATCTGCCTGCCTTGGCCTCCCAAAGTGCTGGGATTACAGGTGTGAGCCACTGCGCCCAGCCAGCTTTAATCAATTTAAATAGCCACATGTGACTAATGGCTACCACAATGGATAGCACAGTTATAGAGGCAGGCATCAGTTATGTGTATGTGCTTGTATATACAGTGGGAATACCACAAACGCATAGATACACTGGCAGATTTTTTCAAAATAAGTTGATTATATAAATATGATAAATTATCACTTTTTGCAAGTTTTTTTTTTTAAGAGGAAAAAAGAGAAAAAGAAGGGGAAAAAAAGAAAAAGAGGGAAAAAGGAATATTACTTCATTCCTAAAATGGGTTTCAATAATGGCCGATCAATATTTTGAGTGTTTAAAGTGGTTAATGCATATTTTATGTGTTTAAAATGGAGACCTCTATTGTGTTTATTTGTTCTGGTCTGAGTTCAAGTCCTGGATATCATTATCAATTTGTTGTCTCGTTGAATCTAAATCTCATTATGTGTCTTATGTATCTGGGTGTTAAGATCTCTCATTGTTACATTAATCCTTTTACCCTTGCATCCTTGTAGCTTTGAAATCTATTTTATTAAGTGTGAGAATTGCAACTCCTGCTTTTTATTTATTTATTTTTGCTCTCCATTTGGTTGGTGAGTTTTTTTCTATCCCCTTGTTTTGAGTCTTTGTATATCTTTAGATATATCGTTAGAGTTTTTGGATAATGTATATTTTGTGTGTTTAAAATGGAGAGCTCTATTGAGTTTATTTGTTCTGGATCTTAGTTCCAGTCCCGGATATCGTTATCAATTTTCTGTCTCGTTGAATCTAAATCTCATTATGGGTCTTATGTATCTGGGTGTTAAGATCTCTTATTATTACATTAATCCTTTTACCCTTGTATCCTTGTAGCTTTGAAATCTATTTTGTCAAATGTGAAAATTGCAACTCCTGCTTTTTATTTATTTATTTTTGCTCTCCATTTGGTTGGTACGTTTTTTTTTTCCAACCCTTTATTTTGAGTCTATGTATATTTTTGGATATACCGTTAGATTTTGTCTGTATCTTTTGATTGGGAGATTTGGTCGATTTAAATTTAGGGTTGCTGCCATTTGTTATTAACTGGCTATTTTGTCCTTTCATTGATAAAAATTCTTCTTTATGTTAATGCTCTTTACTTTTTGGTGCATTTTTAGAAAGGGTCATACTGGTTGTTCCTTTCTGTGTATAATGCTTCTTTTAGAAGTTCTTGTAAAGCAGGCCTGGTGGTAATAAAATCTCTGAGTACTTGCTTCCTAAAAGATTTTATTTTTCCTTCAAATGTAAAGCTTAAATTGGCAGGATATGAAATTCTGGGCTGAAAGTTCTGTTGATTAAGTATATTGAATATTGGCCCCCACTCTCTTCTAGCTTGTAGGGTTTCCGTTGAGAGATCTGCTGTAAGCCTAAAAGGCTTACCTTTATGGGTAACTTGATCTTTCTCTCTGGCTGCCCTTAATATTTTCTCCTTCGTTTCGGTCTTGGTGAATCTAACGATTATGTACCTTGGGGTTGGTCTTTTTGAGGAATATCTTTGTGGTGTTCTCTGTATTGCCTGGGGTTGAATAGTGTCCTGCTTTGCTAAATTAGAAAAATTTTCCTGGATAATGTCCTGGAGAGTATTTTCCAGCTTGACTTCATTCTCTCCGTCACATTCAGGTACACCAATCAAGCATATATTAGGTCTTTTCACATAGTCCCATATTGCTTGGAGACTTTGCTCATTCCTTTTTATCCTTTTTTCTCTATTCTTGTCTTGTCGTTTTGTTTCATTAAGTTGATCTTCGACCTCTGATACCCTTTCTTCTGCTTGATCCATTCGGCTGTTTAAGCTTATACATATTTCACTAAGTTCTCGTGTTGTATTTTTCAACTCCATAAGTTCATTTGTATTCCTCTCTATATTGTCTATTCTTTTCAACATTTCATCGAACATTTTTTCCAAGTTCTTAGTTTCTTTACATTGGGTTAGAACAAGTTCCTTTAACTCCCAGAAGTTTCTTATCATCCACCTTTTAAAGCCTACTTCAGATAATGGAACACAGTCCTTTTCCATCAGGGCTTGTTCCTTTACTGATGAGTCCTTTTCCATCAGGGCTTGTTCCGTTGCTGATGGGTTCTGATTTTGAGTATACTCGGCCTTCTTAGGCTGTTTTTTTCCCTTCATTGCAGATGAACTGCCTTTCTAATTAGGTTTCTGAGTCGACGCCCGACTTATTGATTCCCAGTGCTGGGATCCGAGCAACCCACTGTGGCAGCCTAAATAGCAGCGATAAGACTGATGGTGCTCTTCTGCCCGGGAATCTCTGGTCTGGCTTCCCTCTTGAGTCCGCAACAAGCAGCTCTGACTTCCCGGAGCTCCAAACTCCAGTCAGTAGGGGAAGCAGTCCTGTTTGCTCTGCATGAAGAGCTGCTGCGCCGAGACGCCGGCAAAACCGCTGCGGCGGCCACAAGAGTCGCGCTAGCGACCCGTGGGGCTCCTCCACTGGGAATCGGCTAATCAGTGAGTGATGAAAATTCGTCTAAAGATGTGGCGTCGTCTCGTTCTCTGAGCTTTCACTGGGAGCTACAATCCTGAGCTGTTAGTGGTCGGCCATCTTGGATCGATCTCCAAGTTGTTGTTTTAGACCTTTCTTTCTTTCTTTTTTAAGAAAGACTAGGTCTTGCTCTGTCACTCAGGATGGAGTGCAGTGGCATGATCATGGCTCACTTCAGCCTCAAACTCCTGGCCTCCCAAGTAGCTAGGACTATGGGTGTGTGCCACCATGCCTAATTTTTTATTAATTTTTATAGCAATGCAGGGTCTCACAATATTGTCCAGGCTGGTCTCACACTCCTGGCCTCCAGTGAACCTTCCACTATGGACTCCAAAAGTTCTGAGATTATAGGTGTGAGCCACTGCACCTGCCCATAATGCAATTTTAAATAGTAGCGGTTTTCCTTGTGTTGTTTCCAACATTAAAAAGCATGTTGAATTACTGTTGTTGGAGATTTGATATTGCTTTTTAGTAGATACCTTTTATTAAGGATTAGAATAGCAGAAAATGAATATAAATATAATGTTATGATTCTAATTTTTTTTTAAAACAGAAAAGGAGAGTTTATTGAAAACTATATACAGCTGGTCCAGCTCCTACCATGGGCTGCAATCTCAGCCAGTCCCGCCTACACCTCAGGCAGTGTCCTGGCCCCTCATGGGGGGCATGGGGCTTGGCCTAGGGCCCAGACTCCATTGGGTGGCTTGGCAGCTGGAGCCCACGGTGATCTCTGTAAAGTACAACTCTAAGTGGCCTGAAGGTAGTGGGCAAGGGACAGGGCATGGATCCCTGCCTGACTTAGTCACAGCCTTGATAGGGGAACACTATTCTGAAACTGGGCCCAAGGAGGGCTGAGCTAAGTTGTCTGGAAGTCCTGATTGCCCCTCTCATAGGCCTTCCTAGACGTGGAGGCAAACAGCCTCCCTACGACCCCACCCCACGCAGCAGGCCCCATGGGCTTCAAGGGCTTGACCGGGACACCAGGTACCCTTCCTCCCAACACTGACTCAGGGTCCCGGTCTCCTGGAGCACTTCCCAAGCAGAGGACTTGGGGTTGAGGGGTGAGCGTTGGGGAGGTCACAGCTCCGGGCCCAGAACCGGAG